GATTATAAAATGAGTTTTACTATCACCTATTGGGCCAATTAATTTATCCGCTTGGGTATCGAGGGGAAACTGGTTTTTGGGGCTATAACCGACTAGAGATAAAAAAATATTTTCTTAATGTAAAATTAATTTAATATGTGAATTTAAGTTAAGATATATAATATTTTAAGAATTTAAGTTTACACTAATATACAACATATATAATATATGTAATCAAGTTTGAACTAAATAACTACTTTGGCTCAATGGTTGAGCTATGCTTCTTCAACCCAGGAACCTCAAGTATGATTCCCCAGGGCATCAATTAAGTGCCCAAAATTTTATTTCCTCTAGAGGGACATGGCACCCTCTAATTGTTGAGAAAAATATATTAAATTAAAATAAATTAGTACCAAATTGATCGAATATATATGATAGAATATATAAGTAACAGTGATACACGATAGTATTTGATTTTTGGGTTAAGTTTATTTTAATTTATTAAAATTAGGACCAAATTAATAGAATATATAAGTAACTGTGATCAAATGTGTAATTATACCAAATACTTTAACTAAAACATCAACTTCTCCGTTAAATATTAATGGGAAGTGACTTAATTGAATGCATTTAAATAGTTGAGTGACCTGATTGATAAAATTTCAAAAATGATAGTCAAAATAAAAAGGGACAGTAGTTAGGTGGTCATTGATATTGTTTACCCTTTATTTTAAATAATTTAATTTTAAATTTTTAACTAATTTATAATTAAACATTAAATATTTTAAATTTTATAAACTGAATTAATGGCGCTCATATCGAGCGATTTGTAGAATTTTCCCAAAAGTTATTACTGTAATAACATTTCCCCGCAGACTTGCGTCTTTAGAATCAAATATTGGATAATGGCAAATTACTCCATGCAATTTCGTTAAACATGGTTTAGGCAATATCAACAAATGGAAAAGCCTAGTGATGTATCATCATGTCCATTACTCAAGGAGGAATGCTAGATTTAAAAATGTATTCAAAAGTATTTTCTGTATTCCCTCGGTTTTCTTTCCTCTGGTAGAGTTTTTTATTAAAAATAAATAAAGTTAAAATCGATTGAAAAAAATTAGAATAGAATAAAAATAAGAAAAATAAAAATAAAAGAATTACCTTTAACAAAAAAATTTATCTTTTATTGCCGGTAATTTCAAATTACAATGTTTGGGTGGCTTCTTTTTTCTCTCAAAAAATAATGTGTGCCATTTACATAAAATGAGTACCTCTTTATAGGCTCCCAAAAACTATAAAAGAGAAAACCCTAATATCTTTTCATTAATACTAGATACTAATAAGAAACAAATCTTAAAATAATAAAATATCCTAAATTATCCTAAAGACATTATGGAAAGTATTGAACCCGAAAATAAGCATATCTTGAGTTCTCGATGTCTGATTGAGGCGTTTCAAAATGCATTAGAAAGTCGATCATATTTCAAGAAGACATCATGCTTTGAAAATGCATGAATCTTGGTTAAAATTTTTGTTGCAAGTTGGTTGATATTTCATGCTTAAAAACCAGCTTTAATAAAGTGTTTGAGCCTTAAAAAAAACTAAAAAATTCAAGGTGAGGTTAAATTAGGATAGTGCATGGTTAGAATTAAAGGCCTAGATTATTGATTGGTGTTATAAACCTTTAACTAAAAAATGATTTACTTTATTGGTTGGTGTTGTTCCAACCCTCCCATACAAATCCAAATATGATTCCTTCATAAAAATTCAAATTAAATCGATAGAACGGCTAACTATACTTATTTTTTAATTATTATATCATTTTTTGTTAAATATTAATGATAAATGAATTAATTGATGTTATTTAGATAAATTTTGTTAATAAATTATAAATCTAACCTTAAACTAAAACTAATAGATCAATTATCAAATTGAAATCACACTATAGTCAAGCCAAATATGATTCCTTCATAAAAATTCAAATTAAATCGATAGAACGGCTAACTATACTTATTTTTTAATTATTATATCATTTTTTGTTAAATATTAATGATAAATGATTTAATTGATGTTATTTAGATAAATTTTGTTAATAAATTATAAATCTAACCTTAAACTAAAACTAATAGATCAATTATCAAATTGAAATCACACTATAGTCAAGTGGTCTCTATATAATTTACCATTATATATTTTCGTTATAGAATCTAGGTTGATTTTTTTATTAAAAAAATTAGGAATATGCATGGATGAGATAAATTTTAGGGAAAGGATAAATCAATTTGTAATAAAAAATCACCATGCCAAAAAATGTCACTTTTTTCTTTTCCTTTTTCCCTCTCTTTTTAAGTATTTTGTAGGGTATTTTGATTTATTTTTTGTGTGGATTTTTGTTTTTGATTTAGTAAATTTGAGATTTTTAAAACTTATGTATGATTGGATTGTCACCCAAGATTCATTCAAGGTGGATGAAATTCCATTCGAGCACCAGCGATTGTAGTATGGATGATTGAATTTTTCATTATCAAATTATTAAGAGTGTTCAGAATAAATATTACTTTACAATCATCTTAGTTTAATAAAAAAAAATCTGATCCTACTGAAATTTATTGGAAACTCAGATTAGGGTCGGACAGCCAAATGCCCGACACATACATTAGAGTCTCAACTTTGCAATGAAATCCTCTTTGGTGGTATGGGTAATATAGTTTTGTACCCAAAATCCAGCAAATTCATGGGCCTTCATAATCTTTTGGACATCACAAGATACCCAACATATTTGCCTCGAGACTCGGAAACCGTTAACTTCGAGGCAAATAACTGATTGAAAACATAGGCAAAGCACATTGCTCGTAAATCCCCGTGACGCTAACAAAATTTGTAATAAACTCAAAGAAAACGTTGTTAACAGAATCTTGAAAGGTAATCTATGAATTCTAAAGATGCACCTGAGTTTCTTAATGACACCCCACACTGGTATCTCACAATAGACAGAAAAATCGAAGTGCACAGCAGTTAATACAACCACATGAATTGAAAAAAAATAATGAAACACTGACTAGAATTGATAAGTGAAGAAATATCTTGAAGGTCTCACTCCTGCCATATTTATGATGAAGGTATAGGTTTAAAGCTCTCCATGTATGGGCTTTTATAAACACCAGCTTGCAGTGAATTTAACAGATATATATATATGTTTGATATGAAGATTAACAAGGAGATATGGCTGTCAGGTCCCACTTATTACTCTATATGCATTGAATTAATGAATCCAACAATGTTACAACTTTAATCAGCTCTGCATGCATGGGCAAATAGGCAATGCATGTGACAAACAATCGGTCAACTGCTGCATGCTTCAGATGTAACCCTTTTATTTTTACAGCTGAATAGTACTCTATAAATATGTTATATAAATTGAATTTACTGATTATGAGCATAATTGTGTGACCCTCGAGGCAGGTGGTCGAGTGGCTGAAAATGTTGAATGAGTAATACAAATACGTATGATGCAGAAAGCATCAGAGTAGTGACAGGTGTGATGAGTGCCAGTTAAAGAAATGATTTTCTGATCGGAGGGTCCAAAGCACCAGCTCACGAGGACACCAACGGCTGCAACATACCTGAGCTGTGGACAAGAATCTTTTGTCGTGTATTTCTGATTATGGCCCAAAATTTAATAAAACTGCATAGGTAAATGCTGTTATTTCCTCTGTGCAATTTGGCACTCACTTCTTACATTCTTCATGTTAACCAATCCACTTACATTGTAGGATTGCAATGTTTTCACATTCATGATCCCTGTCTCTGTTTTCTTTTAAAATATAATAACTTAATCAATTTTAAATTCAAATCTTAACATGAAAAGGTAAATACCAAGGAGAAAAAAAGTAGGAAATGCTAAATGTAGGTGAAATCATTTACACATTCGTCGGTATTGTACCGTCCTTTGAGCTGATTAAGGTTTTTAGAAATTCTTCATGTCTGATTCCTTAATCTTTCATCAAAGCATTTATCAATGTTAGCAGTCCAGTATATAACTCATTTATAATTACCAAATTTCTATGTATTAAAAGTTTTTTTTAATAGAATGAATGATTACAATACAATATTTGTTAAGAATTTTTCAATCAATTGACAACGCACTCACTCCTGTATATGCATATGATCAAACTTAGGACCTCTAGAAAAAAATAACATTCTCTTTTACCACAAAAAATCTGAATTTGATTAATTAATAAATGAAAATTTGTTTTACCCTAATTTAGATATGTGACTGTTAGATCATGTTTTAGAATGGGGAATTAATCAAGTATAACTATATTATATTAATCATGGGTCGTAGTAATCAACAGCTCAGTTGCGGATGAACATTTTGAACTGCCTTTGAGAGTGCACCGTTAAAAAAACACAAGAATGTGAGATAGTTAATGTACTTGCCACATTTATTACAAAACCATAACATAAAAATTAATTATCATGTTCGTAAGTATACCAAGAAGCCTGATAAAAATTAATGATAGTGTTGTATGTCTGAATTTGACATGTTGAGCGTTTCTTTATTCTAAATTTTTGTCTGATGAAGGGAAGCCAAAGCAACATCAAATGGTTGAGGTAGAGAAAACCCTGATAGCACAACGAAACAAATTCTTAACCATCAATGTCGGAAAGAAACCTATTTCAGTCATGGTTAAACAAGAAAGGGATTTGATTTATTTGGGGGGGGGGGTTCTGAAATTGGCCGATCAGACCCACTGCAAAATATCAGTTTGAGGTTGTTGCTTCCAGCTTGTGAATGTAGGCCTCAGCATCTTTCTATTTTTTTTTAATTTACACAAGTTGATATTTAAAACATGGTTTAGTTACCATATCAAGAATCAATCATCAAAGGGAAAAGAAAAAAAAATCTACACAATCACTTGACCTGACAGCACTTAAAACCCTAGAAATGGCTACCTCGCAAACATATTTAATTAGCAATGGGGGAGGGGGACTTGCAATGGGTGGCAAAATAAATAATGAAATTCGGTCGTGTTGAAGATGAAGAAGATAAGGGGATAAATGAACAGTGGGTTTGGTAAAAGGAAAAAACTAATGGAGGTTGCGTGGAACTAGAGAGAAGGACCCCATTGAACCATAGGGTGACCCATTTCATTTGTAGGTCATTTTCATCTCTCAATGTTTATAAGTGTTGTGTGAGTCATTGGGAAATGATGTACAAGAAAAAAGCCTATGGTTTGGTGTTTTATCTCAGAAAATATTTAACTCAAAATAACTCTCTCATGGTGTATGATCTGACCCCTACCACCATCGCTTCTTCACTCTAATTTCTCTATAAGAACAACTTCCCATTGGGTTTTGTTTTAAGCTTGTTTTTCCACTCATCACTGTCACTTCAATTTACTCTGTTCTGGCAGCAAACCCCTTGCCCCTCTGCTCATCCTGTGCTTTGCTCTGTACGTTTCGAGGGAGAAGATAGTTTATAGTTTTAGTAGCTTCAAGTCACAACTAAAACGGGAATAAAAATGACTGAGCTGCGAAATTCAGAAACAGAGTGCAATTCTGGGTCAACTCCTAACTCGGTCCCTAGCTCAACCACAACTCTAAACGCTAAACCTGGAGCCACCACTGATTGTAATAAAAAGATAAAGAGAATGAGGGGAGATTCAAGCAAGCACCCGGTTTACCGTGGCGTCCGAATGAGGACCTGGGGCAAATGGGTGTCCGAAATCCGCGAGCCACGCAAAAAATCCCGCATTTGGCTCGGCACTTTCCCTACCCCAGAGATGGCAGCTCGGGCACACGACGTGGCCGCTTTAAGCATTAAAGGCAACACAGCGATTCTCAACTTCCCCGAACTCGCAAACTCACTACCCCGACCCGTGTCTTTAGCACCCCGTGACGTACAAGCCGCAGCAGCCAAAGCTGCCCAAATGGGAGACTTCGATTCCCCATCACCATCCACACCATCTTCTTCCACTTGGTCGTCATCGTTGTCTTTGGTTTCTCATCTGGACTTAACTTCAGGGTCCGAGGAGTTGAGCCAGATAGTGGAGCTGCCGAGTCTAGGGACAAGTTGTGACTCGGGGAATGAGTTTGTTTTTGTGGACTCGACGGACAGATGGTTCTATCCTTCACCATGGCTTGAAAGCATGGAGGATTGTGAGTACGTTTGTAGTCAGTTAGTGAATGGCTTCAAGGAAGGTTTGCTGTGGGATTATTAATGTTTTCCATTTTATTTTCTTGCGTTTGTGAATGTGTGTGTGTGTGTGTCAAATGCCCCTTCTCTTTTTCTCTGAAAGGGCTGAAAGCTCTTGTCATTTTCTTTCTCTGTTTATGTGAAATCTTCCCATGAATCAATAGTGTACATAAACTTGATAATGTAATTTTCTTTCACGACTTGGGATCGGGCAATACACAAGTATATAAAACAATTCATCATCATAAAAACACTCTTTTAAGTCTCAATCAAACATATAGTAAAAACAGGGGCCTGCCACCAAATTCTCCCTTGTCAATTCTCATGAATGCTCTTGCCAGATGTCAGACTATTGTAAAGGTCTTTCAAATCATTTCTCTATATTTAATATAATTATTATATGACTTTCTATTTGTATATATTTTCCATGTTATACCCAATACTTATACTTAAATTGGGCATAATCCTCCTGTATTTAAATATTATACTAATAAAAGCGTTCTTAAATTTTATGATCTAATCTACAATATTTATGCTATTATTTAATTGGTGAAGAATATATATTATGATGAAAAATAATAATTTATGACGGATATGAAGTCTCTCCGATTGTACAAGTATTTACATTTAAATTTCTAAAATTTAATATATTCTTATATAATTTATTTATTTTATATAAAATTTCAAATATAGTAAATTATATTTTTAAAATATTTTATTTTTTATGTGAAAGACATTATAATTGACGTTAAAAAAATTGTTATTTTTATGTTAATTGATTTAAGCCTATAAAAATAAAAAATTAAAGACAAAAAGTTAATTAAAATTAAATTCTATTATAATTTAAAATATAATAAAAATGTTAACTATAGATTTTAGAATATATACAATAAAATTTAAAAATAAACATCATTAACAAAATAAACTACGAAAATTTCAAATTTTGAAATGAATACATATCTGCCCTCTCGCAAGTAGTTTAAAGATGTGTGTAATAAAGTGGAGAAAATATTGCGTGGAGGAGTAAAATTTACAGTTGGATAGCATTATTGGCATAGTCACCAGAGCATTTAAGCCAGATCATGCCCACGTAGGCACCCCCAATATTTATCTTCTTATTACTCTTGAGACATGATATTATATTTTCTTGGGCAAGGAATCTACGCTTACCACTGTCTTTTTCAGTTATATCTATTTATATATGTCCTCCTAAACACTAAATTTGGGTCTCTTTCTCCACTTTTTTTTTTTTTAACTTTCTACCTACAAGATTATATTATCTTCGGGGTCGTTATACATTTATTTTCCCATTAATCTGATTAATGACACGGAACACGTGTTAATGACGTCTATCTTATATTATTAAAAGAGAAAACCATAAAATATTTTTTATTAATCTAGGGTGGTTACAAGTGGTAGTATATGTCCTATAAACTTTCAATCATTTAACAATGAACGTTCAAATGTACTGTAATCGTTGGTGCTTAAACCTAGAACCTCTAAGGATGTCAATCATTTCTTCAACTACTGAAATCATTTGGCTCGTATGACAGTCGTAAATCTTAAATATGAATATTAAAATAAACATAAATCTTACAAATGAATTAATATATTCATGCATGATTTTTTTCCAAAGATTATTAATCCATTATATTTGAAAACCATGAAAAGATTTTTTACAATTACTTCATATTATGTATAGATGAAATATTTGTTATTTTATGTATTGTAATGTAAAAGTTAGGCTTTAAAGACAAAACATACTTTATCTCCTCTTCAAAATATGCAGGCAAATGGGGAAGTCCCTTAATCACCTACACAAAAAGAAAATCTGAAATGGGACAGGCTACACAATTTCGTGCATTTTACGTAATATACTTTTGTATGTATTTCTACTTTTAAATAAAAATCCAGAAACTTGATGTATAAAAATGGGGAAATTTTGTTCATTTTCGTACCAGACAATTTAACATCTCAAGACACCACCAATCATTGGTAAAATCAGAAATTAAAACCTTTTGCTACTCAATCTTTTATTTTCTCCGTATCCTTGAATACACGAATGATCATGTATTTATAAACACTTCCCCCCATCTCTACTATTTATACACATACACATACACATACACATACACATATAAAGTACCTTTTATGATCATTATATATATATATATATAGACAAATGGGACAACAAAATCTTGAACCCCACTTCTAATCTCTCTTCGATTTATTTGTACGATAAATGATATCCTTTATTGACCCGTCTCTTAGCTGTGAGACTAATTACTCGTCTTGGCATCCCAATTTGTATCAAATTTTCCCATTGTACTATTCGTTATTGATTTGATTTAGATTTTTTTTAGGATTTAAACTATACCATAAACATGTTTAGGTTTTTATCATAAAATAACAATTAAAGCAATGGGTAGCGGTTGTTTTTTAAAAATGGGGGTAAAGCACATTAAAAAAGTTATTAAATATACTTAAATGATCATTTTGGATATTAAACTTTCAATAGTTGTAAAACGACCATTAAATTTATCAAACTAATATGAAACAATCATTGCAACTTATAATTAGTATAAAAGTTCAATATATTTGATGATTATTTTGTAATAAATCAATTAATTAAATGACTCTTTTAAAAGTTTTGAAAGTTTGATGATCAAAATGATTATTTGAACATGGTTAATGATTTCTTACATAATTTACCCTTTATAATTTCTTAATTTGTGAGGATGGGTCAAGTTCCATGTGTGAAGATTGCTCAGTTTTTATTCCATAATTAAAAGACATGATTCTGAACCTTTCCTCTTAAGGAAGTCGATGCCCACCATATATTTTATTATGTCAAGATATTTCTAGACTTAGAAGCGTATTTGTTTTCTTATATTGTGGAAAATAAATATAATCAATAATTTAATCTATGTTTATTATTAGCCGGTCAAACAAAATAAGATATTGGGGTTTTTAATAATTAATATTATAAAAGGAATAAAGTAAATTAAAAGAATCATTTTATAATATTTAAATTAATTATATAAAAATGATTATATGTATGTTACAATTAAAAATAATTTAAAACAACTCGGGTGCATCTAGACCTAGAAAACTTGATCCGAATCCGATTATCCAAATCAATTTACCTGACTCAATATCTGATATTAACCCGAACATGATAATCAAATTTAATTTGATACTAGACCCATATCCGACCCGAACCATACCCGATCCAAAATTTAGCGAAATCGAAAGCAACCCGAACCGAATTTTAACCTGACTCGAAAGTAACCTGAATTGAATTTAATCCGACTTGAAAGCAACCCGAATTAAATTTAACCTAAACCAAAAATAAGAATCTTATTGTAAGATTGAAAATAATAACAAATAAAGTTTATTTATCTTACTTCAAAAAAAAGTTTACCCATCTTACTTGTAATAAAAAAATATTAGAATCATAATAAAAATAATAGAAAGTTTACTTATGTTGTAGAAGATGAACATAAAATTAATAATTTTATTGTAAGAATGAAAATAATAACAAATAAATATTATTTATCTTACTTGTAATAAAAATATTAGATTTATAATAAAAATAATAGAAAATAAATAAAATAATATTAGATTTATAATAAAAATAATATAAAATTTAGTTATGTTACGACTAAAACTTAACAAATAAAGTTATGTATAAAAATTTAATAAAAATATTAAATTTATAATTGGAAATAAAAATTTTAGTAAAAAAGTTATTTCTTTATCAAATAGATAAACTTTCCATATAAGATAAATACAAAATTTTGATAATAAGCTCTAACACGCATTATAGGATCGTATTTGTGTGAAATTATCGATTTATCATCTTTAGGCCTAAACGATAAGATTAACAAACAATAAGACATATTTTTATAAGAATATATTAATAATTCTATATATACTTGATTAGACTCATAATCAATTCAACTAGAATTGATCTGATCTAAAGGTTAACCCAAACCGAAAATCAACTAATCCGATATTGACCTGACCCAAAATCTAACCGACTTGGTATTAACCCGACCCAAAAATCAACCCGATCAATATTGACCAGTTTCGATAATCGCCCAACCCGAAAATTGACTTGACTCTTACCCGATCTGATTTACCTTACACCTAAACCAGATCCGGTCTGACCCGAATAAAACTAAATCAAATATAATCTAAACCTAAAATAACTCGAACTAAAATAACTCGACCTAAACTCGATCCGAATGACCCATTTGTCACCGTGCATCACATAATCATTCTCTTGGACAAATGATCAGTATTATTGAAGCCACTACATCACAAGTATAAGTGGGCTCTATTACTTCACTAAAGAACAGACAAATCAACTCCAGCCAACTTTTCCCTTTATTTAGTTTTAAATAATGCATAGTTGAGATTTCCCATTCATGTCGATGCTAGCTTGATTCCTGCTGCCGGGCATTTCCCAAATTTTTTTTATTATCATTATTTGGTTATTATAGAATAATAATTGGATTACAAAATTAAATCAATCACGTAACGGTGCAAATTGAATTTTAATTTTTTTAATATGAATTAGAAAATGTTTCTTTTTTTCTTGGAATATCTCGAATTGGAAAGCATGGGATACCCTCAATGGCAACTTGAAAATAAGATAATATTTTATCAAGATTTTTTTTAAGGCACAACCATTATATTTGGATATTTTGGGAATATGCATTGGTATTGCCATCGTAAAGATGGAAATGTGGGATTCATAGTCTGAACCATATTAAAGTGTAAGGCACAACCATTTGATAGCGATAACTCAGAGACAGACTCACACTTAAGACTGAGAGCCCAGAGGTGGGCTTAATAAAAAGAGGCTTCCATTCCACAAATTCCAACACTCCATTTCAATGAAGTGCCCATCAATCCATGATGTGTTGTCCATATTTCCCTGCTTTGCTTTCGTTACATAGCCCACGTGGGAATGCAAATTTAATAACATCAAACCCTATTCATTTAAATGTACAAGTCCCCACATGAAAATAACTAGTGACTATGTAAAAGCTGTGGATGAGGTCCCCCCCCCCCACACCATGTATTCAACTCACATAAAATGCTTGCTTGTAGTTATTATAGCCATTGATTCATGCATGCATCAAAGTCAAAGAAGTGGAATGACATGCACATCATCCCTCAGTACTAAATC